TAATAGTGCAGGTGGTAAAGCCAAAGTGTCTCCTTTCATTATCTCCATTGGCATCTCTGGGCCAGTGGTGGGCATTCTGGACTCCCGTTGACTTCTCACAAAGTGGTGGCCATTTTATCACGGGAAGTGAAAGGGGGTCGACAAAAGGATGGCGGGCTTAATCGAACTCGCGCCATTTGCCATTGTGAGTCGTGCATTCTACTCGCAAGGATTTGAACTCACAACCCGGCATTTGACCTCGCACCCTAGGCCATTGTTAGTTGTGCATTCTACTCACGAGGATTTGAACTCACGACCTCGGATGTGAACTCACACCCTCGCCATTGCGAGTTGTGCATTAAAATCACTGGCCACCTGGCCACAAATATAACAAATACGAATGCGATGTGCTCTTAGTGAAACCAGGATGACCAATGTATTTGAAATGAAACCAATTTATTTGCAATGTGAGACGAAAACAAAAAAAACACTTTTCACAGCCACTCAAAACCATCACCTTACCCTACATTGCAGGGGTCACTAAAAAGATCTCCAAAATCCTAAATAAACACAAGATCCAGGTCCGATTCAACACAGTACATAAAATCCGTGATTTAGTTCCATCTGTAAAAGATGCTCTTCCAGACATACAGTACCCGGGCGTTTACAAACTAAAGTGCCTCTGTGGTAGTAGCTACATTGGAGAAACCAAAAGACATATCTCGGACCGCATCCGCGAACATAAAGCAGACTTGAAAGACGGTAGGACGAACTCCTCTGCCGTGGCAGATCACTGTTACAATTCAGTGGGCTCACATGACATTGACTTCTCCAAGACGGAGGTTCTTTGCAAACCAACCGGCTACCATGAGAGATTCGTTCATGAGGCCATTCACATATACAAGCACAGAGACAATTTCAACCGAGAAGATGGATTCAGGCTTAGTAACCACTGGAAAGATGTTTTAAATCATTTCTGTTCTTAATTAATTGTATTTTTACGATGACCTTCAGACCGCAGCTCTTTCGCCAGCATTGCCTCTTAATACCTCTCACACCACGGTTAATGGTATAGTTTTACAACATGGAGTATACTAGGGCCTCGCAGCTGTCTCTCTCCCCCTCCTCTGTTCCGACCATGGACGAACTCGTCCGTCTGAACGGGGCCCGTAGCTATCCGTGGTGCAGAAATTTGAGGGCTCTTTGTTCCTCTCACACAGCTTAAAAGCCGTGATCTGAACGTGGCTCTCTCACTCCAGCGCTGTCCTACCAGACAGTCTCGCCCCTTCACCTGATGAAGGCCGCTTGTGTTGTGGCCGAAACGTCGTGAGAATATTATTGTGTTATTTTATTTTATCAATTTATTATTTTATTCTCATTCTACGTGACTTTACCGAAAGAACCAAAGAAGATGAATCATTGCAGTCACGAAAGCTTTAAATCGAAACTTTTCACAGTATTAAGCATCTTTGAAGCTTTTGGGATACTTTATTATTTTATTGATGCACGGGTAAGTCACGACTGATTGAGTTTAACCCGTTCAACCATGACCGGTTGTTTTGGAAACAATCTCCCAGCATGAAGAAACTGTTTTCTGAATGCGTTCCCTGGAATTCGAAACCCCAGGTTCCGTGGTAGGCTCAACACGCTACTTTATCAAGGCTCTCATTTGCTGCAATGTGTTAACCCCCATGTTTTATTTTTTATCATTGTAAAAATAACCTTTTATAATGATTTTGGATTTATACTTAAGAATGAAGGGCAAACAACAAGCACACTGCAGGAATGGTAAGGTGATGGGTTTCTGAAAGCGGAGATGTCAACTGTGCTGTGTGGATGTGAAGTTTGAAGCAGGGGGTGATTAATGTTTCCATATGGATCAGAGAGGTAGGCTTCAAAACGCAAGGAGAAAATTAGATTTTGGCCTTTGAATTTGATGATCATCATCATTAGCCACTGCTGGATGAAGGATTCTCTCAATCCATCGCTCACAATCCTGCGATGTAACAGTCTACCTAAGCACAATTCTGAACGGGCTGATTTCGTTGCTCCATCTCCGTAGCGGATGTTCCCTCGAACGCATTGACTCTTTTGGCTGCCACTCCGCTGTTTGTTTCCACCTCACTGCCATCCCCATTCTAGCGAGGATAGTCCTGGCCATGCCCGCTTGCTTTTCCTCAAAGCCAAAATCATGTCTTGAACCTGTGTACGGTCTTGTGAAATTAGGTGCATGAAAGGGATACAAAAAGTAAATGGCAGGAAAGGGTAATCAACTTGGAAGTCCCAATGTGACTACAAATTGTTATTGATGTAATCGGAAAGGAGGGTTGCAATGTAAGGGACATGTTAATGATTGAGGCAGGTTACTGACACGGCCCTTTCCGGCGTGTCGCCATTCCCACCATCTGTTTCCCTCCTCTCTCCCTCACTGCCGCTTCCCCTGCCCTCAACCTTGATGTCATCTTTGACTCTTCCATCAGTTTTTCCACGCACATCGCCGCTACTGCTCACATCCATTCAACATCAGGAAAAGCCGCCCTCTCATTTTCTTCCACCAAAACTCCCAGTTCATGCTCTGATCTTTGCCTGTTTGGACAACCGTAACTCTGTTCTGCTTGGTCTCCCTGCCTACGCTCTCACTCCCCTCCAACAAATTCTAAATGCTTCCGCACTGGTTATTTTCAAACTCACATTTAATTATCACACTTCGCCGTCTCCTCCTTCAACTTCACTGGCTTCCCATTTACTACACCGCTGTCTTTTCAAATTTCTCTCCATGGTCTTGCCCCACCTCATCTTGCCTCTGTCATCTCCATCTATGTCCCCTCTCGTCCTCTTCATTCACTATCTTTTCCGTCTCTCTCTCTGTCCCTCCATCTTTCTGTGCCCAATCCGGTTTTTAGATCCTTCTGCCTCCGTGCACCCCTCCGCTGGAATCAACTCCCCCTGTACATTAACCTCCTTCCGTTCCTTTCTCAAAGCCGCACCTCTTCTCCATTGCCCATTCCCTTCCTCTCCACTCGCTCCTCCACTCCTTTCCATTTCCCTCCCCTATAGCCCTCTCGTGACCCCCTTGTACCCTCTGCTACGGTCACTCATTCCTCGGCCCTTGCACACCCCCTTGCCATCTAAATAACTCTTATTTTTGTTACCGTTTTTTTTGTATTATGTAAAGCGCCTTGAGCTAAGGCGCTCTATAAATGTAAAGCATAAGATAAGATCATGGGAATACCTGAAGACAGAGATGGTGGTGGTGAGACGCTGGAGAGTTGACCTTGGAGGTTCGGTGTCGACTACGAGTCTAAGGAAGTGCGAAAGGGAAGGAAAAGACGGTGAGGTGTAATGGCTTCGGCATGGACCCTGATCGCGTCGTCACGTGATCACAAATCGCGTAGGAGTCATTTCTGCGAAGCATCTCCTGTCCAACACGAGATCGGGTACCTTCATCATGTATATACAGTTGTTTGCTGCATGCGAGTCGCCCAATATTTATGCAGTTTCGCTCTCAGAGTTGGACCACGTTGGATTAGGTGAAAACGAATATATAAATGTTTTTGTTGTTGTGATTTCTGTGCACTTGCTTTATAATTTATTTGTAGCTGCCGGGATGTGAAGGCGGAATTTCAGTGGTGTAAGCACGGTGCGCTGCCACGAACACTTTGAGCCTTTTGAGGCAAGAAGCCGTGTCCAAAACACATTAGACTTTGTGTTTCCTTAGACGCTGTACTCGCCCTAATTGAATTGTTGCTCTGCACGTGTGTGCGTGCTTGTATCCGCGAGTGAGGGAGCAGTTGCTCAGTAGTTGGTGGACCATTGGGGTGCCGTGGTGGCGAAATGTTAACTCCCTTGTCTGGTATACAGGAGGTCATGGGTTCAACCCTGACGCCTGTATATCTGGAGTTTTCATGTTCATCCCGTGATCGCACTGATTTTTCTCCGTGACCTCTGGTTTTCCCTCCACATTTAGAAACATGCGTTTAGAGTAGTTGGCTGATAAGCCACTTCGTTGAGCTGTCATTTGTGGCCAAGCCGCTTCTGAAGAAGAGTTATGTAGCTCAGTGGGCCTTACCTGGTAAAATTAAAAAAAATTGGTTGAGTTGAAAGTGTAGTTCTATTGCACGGCGGTCCAAATTACCTAGCTCGATTCCTGACTGTAAACACCAACAGCAGGAGTAGGAATATGGATTTTTACTGGGGTTTCCCCTCGATCAACTCAGCCGTAAACCTTAGCCCAACATAATTAACATGTGCATGGCGTGAATATCAGATGTGGTGCTAATTGCACCACTTCCTGTATGCCATGCTGTCCTAAACTGGTGCTCACAAGCAGCACTTGCCCCTATAACCTCGAGGATACATGGGCGAATCTCTGTCTTTGTGTGCACGTGTGCGTGCTTGCGTGTGGGAAGCGGTGGCATAGCAGTTAGCACACTGCGCTCCAGGCCACAGCTAACATACGTGTGTGATGCTTGACCCGATCTAAGATCTCCCTGTAGTTCGACTCAGGATAGAGGAGAAAAGTAATAGAAGAGAGCGAAGTTGGCAGGAGAGAGAGGTGAGCACGGGCTGAGAGATGTGACATTGGGGGGGGAGGCTGGGTAAGGGTGAGGTGTGTGTGTGTGTGTGTGGGAAGCTGCGCTACCAACCCTGCGTCCCCGAGTTCGATTCCCGCTCACGGCCACCACCGACACGAGTGATGATTGTCTCAACCAGTCCTGGGCCTCCTCTAGGTCGACTCAGACTCAAATAATTACCTGGTGCGGTGGGTGAATAATGGCACTGGGGAGACGAGGTGGTCGGGTGTGGTGCTGGAACCCCCTTGTATGTTGTGTTGGCCTTCATAGGGGGCTCTCTAACAGCACTAGCCCCAACAACCTCTGTAGGCTGCGCAGGGGATCTTTATATTTTGTCTTCCTTGGTGCACACACGTTTGTATATACATATTAATGTGTACGTGCTATTGCCAATCGATGTTGTTGCTCACCGCCTCCTTGCCACCGTGTGTGTGCGCCCGCTTGCAGGTGTCCTTCTTCCTCTTCGTGGTGTTTGTGACATACACCATGCTGCCGTTCGGGATGCACGCGGCCGTGCTGGCGAGCTCCGTGCTCTCCGCGTCGCACCTTGCCGTGCTCAGTGGCTTCCTGTCCACGCGCGACAATCACTACTCCTCGGCGCACCTGGCTCTGCAGGTACACGACCCCCCCCCCCCCCCCCCCCCCCCCCCGATTGCGCGTTCAGTACCGGCTCGTGGAGCCACTAGGGGGTCAGGGACATCGTCGAGGGCCGTCGTTGTTGATGGCCACCGCGCCCACAGAAGTGAATGATGCCCAGACACCCAGCCACCAGGGTTTAAGCGGAAAATCCGAGCACCGCTAACATCTGGCTTCACGTCTTCCCTTTGCTGTCCAACCTCTGAATGCCAGTCCTATGCCTGTGTTGTAAACTGCCCTCACTCGGTACGTGCCCAACTTCTTACTGAATATTGAACTAGTTGGCTTTAAGTATGCTTGCATCACAGTCTACACGGTCCTCATATATATCAAAACCAACCAATGTACACGTTCTTCAGTTTATTACCATGTTTATATTTTACTACATTTATCCTGCTAGCCACGTATACATTCTAGGAACAGAGGCACATCTTCACCGACACAGCGGCATGCAACAATCCCAGAACACATTGCAATATTTCTACTGTCAGTGCAACGAACACTATAAGTGTCAGCTTAAATCAAGACAGCTCAATGCTGGTCCTTACTTTGTTGATATTGGTCAGTCTGTGTCTTACACCTAACCCATCTGAGTGACTTTGAGTCGTGAGTTTGAAAAATCAGTAGTCAATTCCACGTGTATGTCCTGATAGGTCTAACCTACCCTTAAATTATACAAAATCTAATTATAACATGTATATTTTTTAATAAAACATGCACATTTAATGAATCGCAAAGTTGTGCGTTTACTGACATTAATAGGATATAAACATTGTTTATTGCCTTTAAGCGATGCACTTCATGTGAGCTAAATGACATGCAAAGTGGACCGGTGCTCAGCAGTGGAAATTCCACATATCTGTCTGGAGGCAAGTTGGTGCATAGGACAGGCAATATGGACTTCCCGCACAAAGCGGTTCGTATTTTGATCTACCCTGGCGGAGTGATGGATTGAGTTTAACCATGAGCATGATTAGAAATCTCAACAAATTTTATTGTGAGTAGAGTACTCACAGCACTGTACGAATAATCATATTTGCACCAAAAGTAAAAATGAAAAAAACTTTCTTGAAATCAAAATAGAATCTGTTTTCACGGAACATAGCAATTTTGCCACAGGTGTTACCTAAGCAGGTGATAAATGTGGGCATTCAGCCTTAAACGCACGAGTGTTCAACCCCTGTGGCACTTGCCCACTGCTCGAAAGGCTCGTCTATTTTAAGTTGTACTTTCAAGTTGCAAGGCGATGTCCGTTGACGGCCAAAGTGGTAAAGCATCTTCTGCTTTTCGTGTGACGTTGACGGTCACGTACTTGTTCAACCATAGCACGGTTGGAAGCGCGAAGGAAGTTCAAACGTACGTACGTGCACACGTGCACACATAAATGACATTGGTTTTCCTGCCCCACTGGTTCCGTGTTGAGTTTTTCCTGGCCACGTCTGAGCAAGAACGTATGCTCTTGGAGCCGTGTGTTCGGTGTGTGTTCATAACAGAGAGAGAAATGTAATATTGCTACTGCCTTTGCCCAGAGCAGCTCTGAATAATGAGTATTTGAAGATGCATTAGGTTATTGCAGTCGCTGTATGCTGCCAATATTTTAGCGACATAGTTGTCAAAAGAAAATGGTGCATATGACAAAATTGTTGGCAAGTTGATAAAGACAGTCAATCAAATAAGGTATACATTTTTGTTCAGGGTGAGAGTGTTATTTCTACTCCAGTGGTTGTTCTGTTTATGTGTGTGTGTTTGCCTAACTCGTGTGTGTGTGTATGAGGAATAGTGCTCCATTGGTCTATTCACTACACACCACAATCCCCAATACCTGGGTGCTATTCCCTGACGTAGATCACTTCAGTGGCACAGTGTCTGAACTCTTCTGAACCTCTACACGGCCTTAACTGAGTTCCTGTTGGCAGTGTGTAAACATGAGCGCCGTGGTAAGACAATTGTGGCCAGCCACGGGTGCTGCATCGCGCGCTCTCAGATGCGCTGCTGTGGCCATCTGGAACGCTCTGTCTTCTGGCATTAAGTAGCCATTGGGAGCGATGCGCTTATAAATCTAGAATGGAAACTCAGTTCTTTAGAACTGCTTTTTGTGTTTAGCTTGTTGTCCTTCCCCCACACCTCCGATGCTATGCAGTTGGCTACGTACGGTGTGAAAGAAGTTAAACATACATATAACATACATACATGGCCATGCCGCCAGCTTGTGGTGTGGTCCATACCAAGCTGTAATAGGTGCTCCCTAACAGCACTTGCTGTAACAATCGGAAAGGCAATACAGAAGACCGTTACCTTGCCTTTGTGTGTGCATATGTCTGTGTCCGGGCATGGTGCTGGCCCACCTCGCTTCCCGTGTGCCGTTCCGGCCTTCATAGGTGCTACTCACTAACACTTCTTGCCCCAACAGCCTGTTAAGGCTATACGGGGGATCTTTGTCTTTGTTTAATTGGGCTCGCAAATGCATTTCTGACGTATAGGTTATTGATCTTAGAAACTTTTACGTTGATTAACATAACAACGTGAAGGGATTGGACAGGGCTGTTTTAATCGCTAATTCAAGTCTGGAATGGATTGTGCTTTGATATCGTGCTGAGCTACAGATTTGTTGTCACAAACTTTAACCAAACTCAATAATATTAAATGTCTAATGATTGGTCCAGTGTACCCAATTATATTATAAAAAAAAAAACACTGTCCGATCCTGACCATTTGGAATAAAACTATTGTTTATGTTTGTACTCTTTGGGTCTTTCGGTAAAGTCACGTAGATAGAAAATTAATAAAAATAATATCACGACGTTTCGATCGCAACACAAGCAATCGTCTTCATGTGAAAAAATACGGCAGGCGGACTGCTGAGGCAGGAAGAAATATAGCGAGAGAGCTACTGCAGCCAAAGGTTATACTGTATAGGTTTGAGATTGGTACAAGGGTAAGTGGGCGGAGCTAGAGATGGAATTTGTAAGTAAATGCAAGATCGCAGAGCAAGGTATACCTCAGCCATTGTATTGCTCGAGAGTAGAGATTAGCATGTCAATGTGAGATGGCTCCCGCAGCAGCAGCTGTGTTAATGAGACACATTCAGCCTTATTAAACAACGAGCGCTACCACCGCATCGAGGAAAAGGGAGCAGCAGATATGTTAGTGAGACATTAAGCCTGTTAATGTAAAGACATTTAACAAGGTAATGTAACTCAGAGAGTCGGAAATAACTGCGAACATAGGCAAGTAGGATGAAAGCATCTCAGCCAGTTAGTATGACTTTACCTGGTTTATAAAGTCCTTCCAATGATTGCTCAGTTTGTGCCCATCTCCTCGGTTGAAATTGTGTCTGTGTTTATATATTTGGATGGCTTCATGAACAAATCTTTGTTGATAGCCAGTGGGTTTGCATAGAACCTTCGTATTGGAAGAATCAATTTCACGTGTGCCCACAGCGTTAAAACAATGATCAGCCACGGCAGAGGTGTTGGTCCTCATTTCGAATGACGCCACGTGGTCTTTAACATCCGCAGAGAAGCAGGTGGCATCTAAATTTTGATTTAAAGCTTTCGTGACTGCAGTGATTTATATTCTTGATTCTTTCGGTAAAGTCACGTTGAAGGGAAACAATAAAATAATAAAATATATATAAAACATTGAAATTCTCACGACGTTTCGACTGTAACACAAACAGTCATCATCAGGTGTGAAAACCAACGGCAAGAAACTTTTAAATGAAGTGACTTCATATAGGTGGCATCTATTTTACGGTTTGTCCACTGGCATTTATAACCACGGTGGCCTGCCAGGTTCGAACCGCAAAGCATCTGCAACAAGCGCCGAACGCGTGACCCCTAGTCCATGTGTACATGACCATATGAATACATTCACGTTAATTGGTGCTGAACATATTTATATTGTTATTTTAGAAAATTGTCTTTTAAGCCATGAGGTTAAGCCACAGTGATAAAGCAACTTCCGGCTCAGTCGAGCATTTAGACGGTGCCCATCTCATGTCACATTAGTGGCCTTGTATCAGCAGTGGAAATTACATTTCCATGGCCATGAGAGGAGAGAGTGCTGGAAGAAATCCCGCAACGGTCATAATGTCTGCATTATCCATCAATCTCACCTCCATAGCAGAGAACTTCAGGCGTACACCACCACGCCCAGAGTAATTGACCAGTTCCTACACATTTTCACTAAATGTGTGTATGGGATTTGCATCTCGCCTTATCTTTTGTATCAGTCACCGTTGTATTTTCTCAATTGGCTGTTACGTGATAATAAAACATCAGCTATAATCAAACTGCCAATATAAATACTGTAATTATTTTCAGATAAATGTTACGAGGTAATTAAAATATGGTGTTTATTCACAGTTTGTTACGAAAATTGGTAATTACGAGTGTAACAAATTACCACAATTTGGGATCACACTGACAGCTCTTTGTACAACACTAACATAATGAACATAGAATAATTCCAAGCCCTTGTTTAATCCACTGCTGGATGCCTCCCCATGCCATCCATGTTGTCATGGTGGTCGTCTAACCATACTTCACCATGCTGGACGCTGCCAGTTGATGAAGGTGGAGGTGCGGTGTATCCAGAACCTTTTCAGACGTCACTCTGCTAAATTTCTCAGCCGTGGCTGGGAATCGAATTCGGGATGCTAGGGTTCATGGCGCATTTCGCGAACTCCTGCGCCACCGCTCCACTCGAGCAACACTGGCGTACCACATTTACAACCACCATTTATGTTGTGGTGGTGTTTTATGTCCATGCACTTTTGACCCGAACTATGTTGCATTTTTTTGGAGGGGGTTGTTAACTTAATCGCCCATTCAGATGTGCAGTCGTGCTATCAGAGAGCACAATAGGGTGCACGCAACTGGGAATCGATTAAGTTGTAAATTGATTTGCGATCTATTTTTATCCTCAATCGATGCCCCTGATTTTCTTGCATTGCGGTGCAGTGATAACAATAAACG